ATGTTCAGTCGAATACTTATTGAGTTTTTATGTAGTTTGGATAGAAACAATAGAGATAGTTCGAGAAATTTTGGATAAATTATTAAGTTTATTTACTACCTGAACTGGAAAAAACGTGTTTTTCTAAGTTAGTAAGTAGCTTACGTGATTTGCTTCTTACTTATTTTTATAGCCAAGTGTTTTCTCAATAAATATATCATCTAAGATAATTTTATTTAATAATTTCGCTCAAAGTTTTACCAAATTAATTATTAAAAGTGTCTAAGAAACCATTTAACTTTTGCATCACGCTATTAAATATTTCAAATATGGTGAATTTATCTTTAAATTTTAACTTATAAACAAGAAAGAAACTATTTAAATTTTTTTTAATTACTGTAATTGCTTTTCTTGCATTTTATATTCTAATTCTAACGTTATATGTGTAGTTTAAGCGTTAAAACACTTGAATACTTCAAAAATGACAACTTTGTCTTTAAATTTTAATTTAAAAACACGAAAGAAATTGTTTATATTATGTTTTATTAATTCTTAAAATTACTTTTCTTCGATATTTTAAAAGATTCTAGTGTATTTCTAGCTTTAAATTTTAAGATATAAGTTAAAGAAAGTAACATTATATGATTAATATAAGCATACCATCATTGAATATTCCAAATGTGGTGAATTCTCTTTAAATTTTAACTTAAAAAACATTATAGAAATCGCGTAGATTTTATTTTATTAATTTTTAAAATGATTTTTATTCAATTTTATAAAATATTGTATAATTTATGATATAAATTAAAATATCCAACACTAAGTGCGTAAGCATTATAAGACGATATTTATCTTTAAGAAAAAAGAAGTAAATCACTTAAATTTTTACTTCATTAATTACTAAAATTAATTTTCTTCAATTTTATGAACGATTTAATATCTTTTTAGCCGTAAATTTTAAAATATACGATAAAAAACCCAACATTGTTGGCGCGTAATATAAGCGTTATAAACATACGATCATTATAAGAAGACATTAAAAGCGTTTTGTAAAGACATAATGACGTATGATGAGATAAAATCAAGAAGAGCAATTACTTATAAAATGGACCTTTGAAATGTTGCACCAAGAAGGCTGCAATTTCTTTCTTTTTATTTTTCAAAGGGGGAAGGAAGTTTTGTTGTTCAGGTAAGGTTTGCGGTTCTTTACAGCTGTTTGCTAAGAAACAGCTGTGACACCAATTACTGAGCAATCATTATCTCTTTTCGGTCTTATTTTTGTATTTTTGTAAATGGGAAAACTGTTGAAAATTAAGGGACGAATGGTAAAATTAATTTTATGGTACAATACCGGCGTAGAAAAGGATGCTTAAGATGCGTAAGGATCAACACGATGATGCTGGATGTTGTTAAATGTTTTAACACTTAAAATGGTAAATATAAATAATATTTTTATGTAAATTGTTAAAAGATGATGCTATTCAACTTTTATAAATAAAAAAATATATATAAAAGGAATTATTTTTCGTCGTTAAATATGAATTATTTAAACGTGAAATATGAATTATTTAAAAACTTTTTCCCCTTCTTTCCTGTTTTAAAATTTTAAAATGTTCTTGTAAATTGTAAGTGGTAAAAATATTTTTTAAGTTTTTTTCTTGAAAGCATAAATAATTTTAACGTGTTAAAATCCTTTGTTTTACTTAAGATAACTTAATTTATATATATATTTAAATAAGTTATCAAACTTAGTTTATGATACTTCAAACACGGGATTTTAGAAGGCACAGAAATGTATTAACATAATTAAATTACGAACTTATTTTCATAAGATTAATGTAGAAAAAAACAGAAAGAGTAAAAAAATATAATCACAATTTCTAATTTAATTAATTAAAACTCTAAATTTACTGGAAAATAAATTTGAATAATGAGTTTTTAAACATAAATACAACAGAAATTTATTAAAAATTAACTGTTTCCTTAAGAAAATTAATAATATTTCTTATTAAATATTCATCATTTGAATGCATTTCAGTGCATTCCTAATTATTTCTGCAATTTTCAAACCTTATAACCGAGCAGAGATAAGAGTGTTTTGTCAACAGGGATGCTTAAAGTTATTCGCTATTCCAGCCAACGGAGACAGTGTTACAGTGACAAATGTGTGCTTAAGTCCAGATCTCTGTCACTCTTCTGGTTAGAATGTTCCCAAACACCCCCACGCACCCCCAGGGAACTGCACTGTGGATAGAAAAGGGGAGTACTCCATCATTCCCTGCTCTATTTGTCCAACTGTGACGTGGAGAACTCTAACCTCAATGTCTTTTTGTGGCTGTTTAAGGCTTGGACAGCGGGGTTCTCGACCTGACTTCAAAAACGCTTGATAAGGAAGACTTGTTTTGTTAGCGTTAAATGGGGGAAAGATTGTAAATACTTTCTCATAATACACCCTATTCATGGAATGAAAATATCGAGATAAATAACGTATGATCGGCATTTTACGCTTTTCAATAACTGGAGTGTTTGTGTAATAAATTCTATAAAAACTATACAATAGAATCTGATAACAATAGAACCACATAGGCAACAAATTTAAGAATAAAAGACGTGCTACTAATTTATTTTCGTTCTATTTATACACTTTACCATGTGAAAAAAAAATTATATATATATATATATACAATAAACTTTAATGAAGCAAGAATGGCTTGCGGTGAAGTCAACCTGAAGGGATTCAACATTTTCGTGCTTTCTCTTCTCTATATGCAATTGAACAGACGTGGGAGATCTGGTTTCTATAGCAACGTGCCCTGTTGCATGCTCCCGATCAGTAGATAATATTTATTCCTTTCCCAGATACTAAAGGACTGCTATCTGTTGTCCCCATCCCCTGAATCTAAGCTAGACCTCCCCTTATCCAGATGTTTTTGTATTATTGTCAAGACGTAAGAAAGATCCCTGATCCGAGAACAATTTTCTCACCGTCTTCCCCATATTCAACCAATCTCCTTTCGAGAGTTTTTCAACCACTTGAAAACCATTTCCACCAGTAACAATTGAATGCAGAATTAAAAAAAGAAAAAAAAATTAAGTTCGAGTTACAGAAAGTTTAGAATTATACTAATCTTTTACATAAAAAGGCGTCAAATTTTATAAAAATTTTGTAAATTTTTAACATATTAGATGCTTCTTATAAGATTTTTATATTATTTAATACTTACAAAGCAAATTTTTTTTGTGTTTTTCGCGTGTTTTCAACTAATTAATTCATCTTTTATATGCTCAATATCGGAAGGGACGTCTTTGTTTAAAGGTTTCTTGTGTGTAAATGAGCGCATAAATTAGCATAATTTTACTAAAAGTATTTAAATAACATTTCAATTAATAATTTAAAACAGTCCTAAATTCAGTTGAACAATTAGATAATATCACATATGGTATCAAAACTTTCATTATCATTATAGTAATAATTCAGTCATGTTTAATGTAATTTATAGCCAACCGGTTGTAGTAAATTAGGCATTTTAAAGCAAATATTAAATTTAAGATTAAATGACTCTTTGCGTAAAATTTTAAACGATCAAGGAGCCGTTAATCCTGAAAATAAACGATATTAAAGAACATTAAATCAAGAGAATTCGGAATGATCGTCAAGATAATTTCTAGCATCCTCCATATAAGATCTGTTTTTCTTCTCATCTTTAAAGCCTTGTAAGGTTTCAAAACTAGTTCTTCAAGACTTTAAAATGTTAAAAATAAGTTTACTAACGATATCACGACAAAAAAAAAATGGCATTAAAGAACAAGTTTCATAATCTGATCGTAATTTTAAGCATTTTAAAAATATAATTTTGATGGTTCTGACAAGGAAGAAGGAGGAAAAAAGAAGAAAGAAATTACGAGTTTTCAGGGTTTCGTGAATTATTTAAATAAATATCGAAGAAAACAAATTTAACAATTTCGCAGGAGATAAATATTTATAAGGTCCTCAGCCCATATGACCGGTGGCAAGAATTTTTCAATCGTGAGGACTTGAGTTGCACCGCCTCACTCGGTCGATATCACCGTGCAGTTAATGGTACAAACATGGAAGTAACGGAAGAAGAAAAAATTATATATATATATATAGGACTGTATATAAGCTAAGAGAAGTGTTTTCACACGCTACCCCAGCAGGAACACGAAGATTCGCAGAATTTATCGTATTCTTTTGAATCAATTGATCTAGCCAGACTTTCACAGGAATACCCATAAGAAGAAGACAAACCGTAAACTCTGCTTTATATTTGAAGAGAGTATAAATTTAATTTTTCTGTAATCTTTTCTTTCTTACTTTTTTTTGAAGCAGATTGATATCGAACTTCGTTACAATTCAAAGGTTTCCTGACAAGCGATCAGACAGTATGGTGCTCCATTGCACCTCTACTTCTGTCTAGCTCTAAGTTAGCTGTGGAGAAATCTTTTAAGATCTAAAAAAGATATATAAAAAGCTCTTAATTTTATTTTGACATAAGGAAATGGCATTTTTGTAAGCGTCATTTCTTATTTATATAATACTGTCAATTCTAAATGTTCTTTAGGAGGTCGACAGTTTCTAAAACTTTCGTATTTTATATGGATGTCATAGTAAATTATCCCCGTTTGTAAGTTTATCTAGTCGATCCTGATTGAAAGGGCCATAATCTTGTCACATGATGTAAAAGCACGCTTAAAGTCCGTGATTATAGATGTTACATAGGCATTTAAAGTCGATTTCATTACGTGTTTAATCTTAAGTACCTGCGTATTGCACATAGCGAATATTTTCTAATGCGCTTAATTATCACTTAAACTGTTTGTAATATGTTATCTGCACCTCATTCCTCATCAGCGTACTGAATTTCTATAATTGTTTATGAAAATGGTAACGGATAAAAGCAGCATTTCTGTGGTACCACCTTACTAAATTTGCAAGAGGCACAATTTATGTTATCGAGTGATCTATATCGTGGATGGTAAGATAGAACGAGAACACTCACCTTCAATTTCTTCGTTCCTGTAACGCTCTAACGACGTAGCCAAAACAGACGTGCTGGCCCACATTAGCAGCAACACCATCCAAATTTTCTGTTTCATTGGTTTCAGTCCTGTTCTTATCCCGGTTAATCCTAGAGCTAGCATGTCGGACCCACCACGTGGCTCGAGGTAAGTATCGCCACTGGGAGGTCGTCAGTCTATAGACCGGGACACCTGCAGCGATGTGCAGCAGTCAATTGTCGATTCTCCAGCAGAAATCCATGTCGCTCATCCAGCAAGCCAGACACGTGTCTGTTCGAGTCCTTGCTTCACTCCACTCTGTCTCCCGGGATGAGCTCACTTCTAAGAGGGGAGGTTGCACTTTATTCCGAAGTCGCAGCTGTCATGTAAAGCAGATTCTGACCTTAGGTCATCGGTCATATGTCAGTGGTAGAATGTTAGATTTGACGTTGGTACAGCTGCGACTTTTTCAGCCTTGTTTGCTTAGACTAGGAAGTGGACAAATCGTGCTCTTCTAGTGACGTCTCTACCACTGTTTCTACCAATCAGGAGGAGGATATTCGACCACGTGGACGGTGTATTTTGATAATTTCTGGTAAACAACAAACAATGTAACCAAGTGTTTACAGGTGTTTAGAAAAATTCCATGTATTTATTTTGATTTATTCTTCAATTTTAAACATTAAAAAATGCATAAAAATGTAATATTATTAATAAAAAATATATTTATTATAAAATATAATGCGAAAATTTGGATATTTAGTCTTTTAAATAAGCTTAATAATAATCCATTTATAGCACAATTATATACAGTATATAAATATACAATGTTAGAGAGAAAGTGTCTGTTTAAATATAATTTACTAGTTTATATGTATCTATGCAGATTTATACACTAAAGATATGCATCTATAAACTTAATTTTTATTAAATTAAGCCATTTTACACGCTTACAAATTCAAAATTTAGTTAGATATTCACTAAAATTTTTCTGTAAGAGCATTATGTCTAGAGGCAAAAATTTAGACTTGTTGACACCCTAAACTGTAACACAGAGGGCTCAATCTGTATCTTGTTTAGTTGTAAACCCAGCTCTGTTTATAACAGGTATAAAAAATATATACAGTATTAAATGGATAGTTTTTTTTTTGTATTTACATAAAACCTTATAAAATCTTTTTATTTGTATCTTTCACTTCAATGAGAGTTTTGCGTGATAAACAAAAAAAGAGAGAGAGAGAGGAAAAAAAAGGATTTTGTCAATAGAAATACTATAAAAAGGCATAAAATAAATTTATTATGTAAGATTGCTTTTTTATATATTATATTTTTTTCCTTTCTTTCTTATAATTTTATACATTCTTAGTGATTTATAAAGCCACTATTTTTTCCAATTTATAACAAAAAAAGGCGTATTTTTGAGCGGAAAAAAATACTGAATTTTTCGATCGAAAAAATAAGAAAATTGCGGTAGAATATTTTAAGTTATAAATATATAAATATTCACTAAAATGTTGTTTACGTGGGAGTCGTCGTGTCACGTGACAGGCGCTTAAGAGGATAGTGTTTTAGTTACGTAGAAGAAACCTCAAAATGCTCTTTTAGTCACGTAACTGAATTCCTGTAAATAGTTTTCTTAGAAGACGGATTTAACAACATAATAGTGCCAAATATTGTTGTTATTATTTTTGCCTTGCCAGTTATTAGAATAAATCCACTTATAATGTTTTAGTTATTCAATAACAGGATCTAGCTGGAGCATCATTAGATCACATAATGTTCCAAAATCCATTTTTTGTTGATATCTGTCATCTTTGCCAACAAAACTGATTGAGTAACTACATTCTATTTTAGATGATAAATCTATTTTACTATCAATCATCGAGGTCGAGGAGTCAAAGTAATATGTTCTTAATATATTAAGAGATGAAGGATAGTTTCCTACTTTATTCTGATTGAGATATCTTCCAGTAATAATGGTTTAACAGCTACTACAACGGTTAAAGTAATGATTTTTTTAAAATATTATATTTTAAAATGATGTGTATAAGTAATTCAAATCATTATTATGGCTGAATTTTCTGTAATTTTGTTGTTTTTTTTCTATCACAGAAATGGCTTTGAACAGGATGAAATTCGACCGTTTTGTTATTAAAATCATATTTAAGAAGCGAAATTTTAAGATTATATTAAAGTAAATATGCTAAATTATTATTTAAAATAAATTAATTAATTCAAATTTATTAATTTCCTTCATTAAAAGCATAATAAAACGTTTATTCATAGGGTAGAAACGAAGTAAAAAAATCACGAAACGATCATTATTTTCTACATTTTTAAAGTCAAATTATGCTTAAAATTAAATTTTAAAAATATTATTTTTAATCGAAATTAATTGTTAAAAAATATTTAAACGTTTTTTTAAAAAATAATTAATTAATAAAATTAAAGAAGAAAATCATTATCGAGAGAACACGCTCGTTATAAGTAACGAAGTTTAACGTAAAAAAAAGGTCATAAATAAGAATTAAATGAGAATTTACTTATTATAAAGTTGGGTATTGACATTTAAGAATGTATTTTAAGTGAAGATAGATTTCTAAAACTAAGAACTAATCATGAAAATGTACAATTTGTAGTTTATAGCTTCCGTTCGCCGTTTCTAATTGCGTGAGTTTTGCTTAATGGCATTAAACAAATTTTGTTAATAATAAACATACTTTACTGGAAAACGTATTTCAACCGAATAGAAACTAATTTACTACCTTCTATAGCATGCGAGAAGTATCCACTAACATTATTTTGTTACTAACTATTGCCTAATGATAGGAAATTAACTTTAATTGTTTTAATTGAGGCTTCCAGAGTTTATACTAAGATAGCATCTGTGCGGTTAGACAAGCTTCATTTTGATTTGTGAGAATGGTAACACAGCCTTGACAACTAAGCAGAATATTAATTTGTAGTCAGCTTGCCTTGCTTATATACTAAGTTCGTATGCTACTATAGTAACAAACTCAATAATAATAATTACAAACGATTCGGTGACAGATTTAGATAACATTTTATTCGATTTTCAGGTAAGAAAAATACTCATTAATATGCTACTGTAGCAGTGTTAACGTATATTTAGTTAAGAAAATGTGTCAATAGGGTAAAAAGCATGTTATACCTCAATAATTTGTTATTGTAGTACTGTAGTAAATAATTATAGTTTCAATAACTTGTTATAGTAGCATTAATATGTAGTTAGTTAGGAAAATGTATTATGGGTTAAAAGTGTTTTATACCTTAAATAATTTATACCTCACATGGCAGTTACTTATTAGGAAACTACATTAACAATGTATTAACATACTTTCAATTCAGTACAAATTACTGAAAATACTTTCAGTAATTTGTTATTGTAGCAGCATTAACATGCTTAGGAAATTGTATCAACTATTATGAGTAAAAACATAGTTATACCTTAAATTTGTTATTATAGTAGTTGTTATGAATTATCATAGGTTAATTATACTTTCAATAATTTGTTGCTATAGCAGCATTAACATATAATTAATACATAACAATTAACATAGAATTATTCTTCACAGTTGTTACTCTATTAGTAAATGATAATTCCCTAGTTAATATTAAAATTTAGTGTACTGTTACAGCAACAAAAACAAACTTGACATCTGTTTATTAACAAATACAAGCTGACTCATTTGATCATTAACTTAAGCAATATTTCAAAAAGAGTGTGTCACTTTAATAAAAAACAATTTCCGCTATTGAATAAGAGTTAAAAATTTAGTAAATTTGTTACTCTAGTAGCATACGAAACCAACACAAATCGCCCAATTAATTAATAAAAAAATCATAAGTTATAAATATGATAACTCGATCGAGTGACGCTTATTAATGATTGTTATTAAAGTAGTACTTGAACAACGTACGTAACAAATGGATGGTTAGTCATACCGTACGGAAATTTATTATTGTAATAGAAGAGATTAAATAAAGAAAACGAGGGGAAAAATGTATAAAGTGAACGCATCGCTAATGCTACTAGAGTATTATTTTTTCGTGTACACCCATCGCGGAAACACCGACTGTGGGTGGTTCCTGATACCCAGCTATAAATAACCCTGGTCATTATCATAAGCTATTAAAAGTCTCTCAGTTATTCACTTCATTAAATGCCAGTTCAAGGTCTTTTTAGTAACCAGAGGGGAGATACAAAAGGAACAAAAAAAAAAAAAAAAAATGGCTGAATGTATGAACAATATTGACTTTGCTTCGGGATTAGATAATGAATGGTGCCTGTTATTGTGACGATTATTTTTGTATCCTCGGACATCAAATGTGTAACGGAGAAAACAATGAAGTGAATTGGTAGAATATAATTTGTCTTTTTGTTGTGTGTTAATAACTTGAGGAGTAGGCTACCAATTGTTTTGTTCGTTACATACTTAAAAAATGACTTTGTATTAACAAAAAAAGTGGGTGAGATGAGTAAAATTTAATTTTTTTACTTAACAATTTAGTTTAAAGTTGTTAAATGTAATAAATTATAAGCGATGATAACATGGGGTGACTTTTTTTTTGTGATGCCTTTGATCTATTTGTATATACAGTATAGCACATAAAATATCACGAACATTTTTATTAGTGTTTAAGAAGTGAAATATGTAAATTTGATAAGAAAATTTTTTATTTTTGGTTAAATATATATTCATTTTCGTGCTTTCTCTTCTCTATATGCAATTGAACAGACGTGGGAGATCTGGTTTCTATAGCAACGTGCCCTGTTGCATGCTCCCGATCAGTAGATAATATTTNTGCCTGTTATTGTGACGATTATTTTTGTATCCTCGGACATCAAATGTGTAACGGAGAAAACAATGAAGTGAATTGGTAGAATATAATTTGTCTTTTTGTTGTGTGTTAATAACTTGAGGAGTAGGCTACCAATTGTTTTGTTCGTTACATACTTAAAAAATGACTTTGTATTAACAAAAAAAGTGGGTGAGATGAGTAAAATTTAATTTTTTTACTTAACAATTTAGTTTAAAGTTGTTAAATGTAATAAATTATAAGCGATGATAACATGGGGTGACTTTTTTTTTGTGATGCCTTTGATCTATTTGTATATACAGTATAGCACATAAAATATCACGAACATTTTTATTAGTGTTTAAGAAGTGAAATATGTAAATTTGATAAGAAAATTTTTTATTTTTGGTTAAATATATATTTTAAAAGGTTACATTACAAGTTATAATAACGAGATTTAATGGTATGATGACAAGGGATGGCTTTAATTTTTTGAGATACTTTTGACCATAAACTGCTTGTATATGGCCTATATATATATATATATTATAATCTATACAAAATATAAACCTTACAAATTAAAATTTATAAATTTCTGTATTTACTAAGAGCAAAAATTACGCGTATAATTAAATTTA